CTGCCCCAGCTGCCCAGCCTATCAGAGCCCAGGTCATCCCAGTGCCCACTCTGCCCCAGCTGCCCAGCACATCCAGCAATCCCTACACTGATCAGAGCAGAGCTGATGAGGCTGCAGAGGCCAAAGTCCAACATCAGCCAAGCCACTCGGACACACAGTGGGAGCCAGGCCAGTAGCTCTGGGCTCGGCTGCCAGTGGGCCACCTTTGAGGGCCAGGCCTGCAGCTCACTAGGCCAGGACTGCCTGCAGAGGCCCTGGTCCTGTCCACCCTGGGACCTTCCCAACCATTTCTCCTGCCAGCAGTCAGATCACTAGTGCTACCATTACAGCCCTCGGCACTCATCTAACCAGGGCGTCAGGCTGCTTCAAAACAGTTCACTCACTGCCACCATAAACACAGCAGCAACGGAACCTGTTAACCGTAAACAAACAGATCTGTTTTAGAGCGGGTTTTCTTTTTTAACCTGTTGCAAACACCGTCGAACCAGAACAGACTCATAGCTGACTCCAGCGGGTTTTCAGAGGCTGTACGTCACAGTGGGGAGAACGCCTATCTTTCTCCCTTGAAGCAGCTGGTGGATTCAAACTGTGTGCCTTTGGGTTGCCAGTGAAGTTCCTTACACTGAGCCTGAGGGACTCAAATCATCGAGTCGTCCCTCAAAGATGGGGCCCGGCTGCACAGCTGTGATGCGTATTGACGTTTGTCACCATCATCTCCTGGAACAAGGCCTGGGCGTCTGAGGAAGGCCCGAGTGTCAGGAGGAAGGTCTGGGCGAGACTTCCAAAGCGTGGCAGGCAGGCTTGATTTCTATGTAACTCAGGTACCACGGCAATGACTGAAGCAGTCTGAGGTGCTGGATTCAACTAGGATCTCACAGCGGCCACCAGGCAGGCAGGAGGATGACTGGATGGTGTCCACTAAGGGGGTGTCTGGCCCTACAGCTGCCAGTCATCACATGCCGTGACTGACCCCACAGGGGCAGGGGACATAGGTCCCCCTAGTGAGGACGTCCACAGGTGCAGGCGAGGCGGGTCCCTGCGCCCCTGCCTCCTGTGGTGCCACCACTGATGCCATTCCACCCTCTCCTCCCACGCCGGGTCAGGGTGGCCGCATGTCAGGACAGACCTGTGCCCCACGGGGTTTTCAGTGGCTGACTGTGGAAGCAGAGCACTAGTCCTGTCTTCCGACTTACGTGGTTTTGGTTTTTAACGTTGTTGTTGTTGTGTGCCATTGAGTGACGCCTCCCGCAGCTTTCCAGCGCCTAGAAATTGTGCAGGAGGAGAGGTTCCTCTCTCACGGGCAGCACGTGGGTCCTCACTGCCGGCCTCTGGGCTGGCGGGGCGGCTCCTTCCCACCTGGCCACCAGAACTCCTTCAGCATCATGGTGGCTGGGTGTCTACAGGGCCAACTGGAAGTGGCCCAGTGACCTCAGGCTATGGCTAAGGTGTCCCACTAGAAGCCCAGCCCACTCCATACACTGCCTGAGGGCTGGGAGGCCGGGACAAGCCAGTGGTTCTTCACCCAAGTCTTCCCGCCACCTCTTGCCTAGGTATAGGGTTGAGGGGCTATCACAAATCTTGGAGACTTGAGGAGTCCCTCCTGTCCACTCCAACACTGGTGACCCCTGCACAACTAAGTGGACACAGCCTCCCCATCCTGGACCTTCCCCACGACATGCTGAGAATGGCCCGTTGTGGGCCACAGAGTGTCTGTCCACTGGCTGCCTTTGAAGGGTGGTCAAAACCTCTCACGAGTGGAGTGGAGATCCACTACATGCACCCGAGTGTCCTGGGTGGGGTTGTGTGTGTGTGGTGTCCCGGAGCCGGCCGGTCGGTGTTTTGCAGGACACGGGATCAACAACACCCAACGACAGCAACCAGCTCAGAGCCGACAGTCGGGGGAGGTGTCCCCTATACAAGCGTCCACTTCTGTCAGAGCTGAGAACGGACTAAATAAACCAAGCCTCTGCCACCGAGTCTGTTCTGACTCCTCTCAGCCCTCCCATCAGGCTCCAGGATGAAAGCTTGATGGGAGGAAACTGTCCCCTTTCGCCCGAGGAGTCGCTGCTGGATGAGAACTGCTGGCCTCTCGGTTAGCAGCCAACTCATAAACCATGCTGCCGCCGGGGCGACTGTTGTGTGGTGTCGGGCTGACCGTGACTCGCAGTAACACTGAGATCAGCAGAGCTGAGCCTTCCCTGGCCCCGCATCGTCCTCAAGGTCATGGGCATGCTGGAGTCCTTGCAGTCACTCTGTCTCACTGACGGTCTTCCTCCCGTTCTCCGACCCTCACTTTCCCTAAATGCAGTCTGCCAAGAACCGCCCCCTCCGGACAAGCAGCCCAAGGTATGTCAGGAAAAGTCTGTCTGTGCCTCCAAGGAGCACTCGAGTTGTACTTCCAAGACAGATTTGCTTGTTCTTTTGGCGGTCCATGGGATATTCGGTTCTCTTCTCAAACACCCCAGTTCAAAGGCATCAATTCTTCAGTCGTCCTTACTCACTGTCCAACTCTCAGAAGCATAGGAAGCCACTGCAAAGGCCAAGGCTTGGACCAGATATGCCCGAGTCTTTAAACGTACTGGGTATAAAATAACTCACTAAAGTCAAGTCAAGGTCTCCACCTCGGCTTCTGTGCCGCAGATATCCCCTCGCTCTACGCATCTTTTGAGTGGCCACCTAAGAACAGGGACCTGAGAGCACATGTACAGTCGTTGTTATGTGCCATCCAGTCGCCTGTGACTCATAGAGACCCGTGTACAGCAGCTCTGACCCCTGCCCTGTCCTGAGCAGTCTCACTGACTCTGACACACCGCCCCCATTACCCCAGTCACTGTGTCAATCCATCTCATCCAGGGGTCTTCTCCCCTGCACTGTCCTTCCAGCCTCCCGAGCATGAAGTCCTTCTCCAAGGACAGGTCCCTCCTGGCCACGTGAACTGGAGCTTTCATTGCCGATGCAAAAGCACATGACTGTGTGCATCACAGAGAATTGTGGCTCACCTTGAGAAGAATGGGAACCCCAGAACACTTGATTGTGACCATGAGAAACCTATACTTGGACAGGAAGCAGTTCTCAGAATAGAGTAAGGAAACACTGTATGGTTCAAATTCAGGAAGAGTGCATCAGGGATGTGTCCTGTCTCCATGCCTTTTCAACCTATATGCAGAACAGATCATTTGGAAGGCTGGGCTTTATGAGGAGGAATGCAACATCAGGATTGGAGGAAGACTCATCTACAACCTACATTAAATAGATGACACAGCCTTGCTTGCTGAAAGTGAGGAGGACCTGAAATGCTTGCTGCGGAAGGTCAAGGACTACAGTCTTCAATATGGATTGAAGCTCAACATTATGAAGGCAAAGATTTTCACCACTGGGCCAACTGGCAGCACCATGATGGATGGAGGAGAGATTGAGGTTGTTAACAACTACAGCTTACTTGGTTCCCCAATCAACACTCTTGGCACCATCAGTCAGGAAATATTTTTTTGCACTGGGAAAATCTGCTGTCAGGGACCTATCTACAATATTGAGAGGCAATGATGTCAGTCTAGAGACTAAGGTGTACTTGGTCCAGTCCAGTCTTTGCAATTACTTACTATGCATGAGAGCTGGGCAATGACTAAGGATGACAGAAGAACTGATGTCCTTGAGTTGTGGTACGGGAGAAA